AAAATGCAAGAAAAATAATGTCTAACAGTAATATTACCTCTTGTTAATTGTCTGACAGCTGTCATTTTTCTTTAAAATGTTTGAGTTGTTTATGTGTAAAATATAGAAATCTATAATATTAACTGAAAGAATAAGTAGTCACTACTAGTGCCTAAAGCAAAATAAATAAAACATTTCGCTGATGCCATTTTAGATTTTGTCAGACAATGGAACTACTTTGCATTTCACTTGAGTTTTAAAATGTCCTATACTGTACTGCAACTGTATACCTGAGCATTAGCAACAGACAGATATTCCTCTGATCCATCTAAACGGAAGACCTTAAGCGACAGGAAAAAGAGAGAAACAAAAAAATCGATGGTTTCTTGTACTCACAGCTTCAAGTTTCTATTTTAACATGGCTCGCTATTGATTCGCTTTCATAGCTGAAGTCTCTTTGAGCAGCAGCTCGCTCCAGGAGGATAGAAAAGAGTTTAGCAGAACAAAACCCACAAAATAGAGAGAGGGGAGCTTGGAAATGATGGCCTGATGCTTTCTTGGCCTGCTTGATCCGCACTAACAGTTCCTGCTTAAGCACGGTCAGTGTACAGTTGCCAACATGAAAGGCTTTTGTATTGTGTGATGGACTTTCCCAGAACAGCACTGCGGTGTACTTAGCTTTTATAGTGGGGAATGGAGGCTGACTTCGAAGGGTGAATCGTTTAAGGAGAGCTTGCCAAGTGCTGTGCTCCCACTCCCACTGAAATGAAAGGAGTTCCGGTGCTTTGTGTCAAGAGAGGCATCAAACACCTGTGCAGTGGAGAGCAATGCTGGGTAGGCAGTGTGGGGAAACAGCAGAACTGTAAGTGGCATGTCATTGTCGACATTAAATTCTTGCTAATTAAAAACCAGGAGAATATTATGCTACACAATACTTCATTACTGGTATGGTACTATAATCTTACATAAATTACGTCCATGTTCTGCTGTCATGGTGAGTTTGCGGTGACCAGCGTACTCCGTGAAACAATGTGTTCTCTGTCAGGAACTGATTAACCGAGTGCTGCTCCGGCACTAGCTAGGTGTTGATGGTTTCACAGCATCATGTCAGTATAGGGATTTTGAGAAGTGTTGCACAGCAAGTCTGAAAGGTCATTCCACTCACACTGCCTAAAGTCACACCACAGTGAAAGGGAATGCTAGAACATTCTGCTAACCACAAAAAAACATCCAAATTGCAAAGAAAACAAGACCATGATTAGCCCAGAAACATACTAAATGTTGAAAGTAAACATTAAGTACTAGTTTTACAAACTTATTTTGTGTTGCGTTCTGAAATGTGTTGCAGGTTTGTGCAGCATTCAGAGCTGAATGAAGAATCTTATAAATTCCTGAATTTGAGCTGAGAAAAAAAAAATCATAACTGTAATCTAAAACTAGATGATCTAGAAAAGCGTAGTTAGTAAAAACAAAAAGAAAACGTTTTAAAGATGTATTTTAAAGATGTCCTGTTCCTTTTCTCATGGCTACACCATCATTTACGCAATTTCAGCCAGCTAACTCAAGCAGAATAGCAGGCTGGCTATTACACTTTGTGTCACATTCTCCCCAGGCCCCATTTATTTCACAGGGCCACTAAACGCTAAATGACAATTGACTTTATCAACAAACTCCCAATTTTACACCATGCATCTCCATGACAATAATGGCTTTTGTTTTCCAAACCTGCAACAAGATTGAATTACCACTGCTGAGGCCAAGTTCAGATATTCTTCAACAGATCATGGTAGAAACAGATACTGCTGAGATACAAAAATAAAGTGTTTCAAACTTTCAGCATAGGAGAGTAAAGGGTGCTCTGAGTGTTCAGGCGCTTAGTTTCTTCTCGGTTCTCCTCCTGCATAAAGCCTAATGATGTGGAGGTAATACAAAGTCAACTCAGATCAGAGGACAAGGGAGTGCCAAATAAGTGTGAATAAACTAGCTGTAAAACGTGGTGCTTTCCTCTCTTTAAGCGTAATGCCTCCTACATTACTTCTCTCTTATTAATTCCCTCTATTTACAACCTTTCCTTGCAGTTTTGTATTATACTAAGAAATCCCACCCAATTATGGTGTCCCTTTTACAAGCTTTTGTATAATCACACCTAAAACCTGCTTCCGCTACTGAAAAGACCAGCATAAGTTGTGTTTTGGATGCCAGTATTCTGGTGTCCCCGCCAGACTTCTTAAAGGGATAGTTCACCCAAAAATGAAAATTCTGTCATCATTTACTCAGCCTTGTTGTTCAAAACCTGTATGATTTTATTTCTTCTGTAGAACATAAAAGAAGATATTTTGATGAATGTTGTTAACCAAACCATTTCGGTTCCCATTAAAATCCATTTTATTTTTGTCCATTCAATGGGAACCGGAACTGTTTGGTTACCAACATTTTTCAAAATATGTTCTTTGTGTTCCGCATACAGATTTGGAACAACATCAGAGTGAGTAAATGATTCTAGAATTTTCAATTTTGGGCGGACTATCCCTTTAAATAGTCTAACCGGCGAAACTTAGAAAAAGAAAAATGTAAAAACACCAGAAACTTCATTCAGGCCACGTGAACGGGATCTCAGTCAACTCTCCATCTAAACGGTTTACATTTCCCTGTCCTCACCTATTTGTTGATATTTCAGGCCATTTTGAAGCAAGACATCTGCATTTATGAGAAGAGGGAGACGCACCTGCAAACCCAATCCATCTGCAGCAGCTCTACTATAGAAACTATAGGAACTTTGACCCCTGCATCACCCTGTCTTTGGATTTGTTTTATTGGCACTGAGGAATAAGAGGGCTCTTCAGGCAAATAAGGGGCAAAAGTCATAAGAGAGAGGAAGCCCTGCAGCATTCAATAAGCCATTTAATCGAGTGGAGAGCAGACATCAATACAGGTAAAACCCAGCAGGATACTCAGCAGGAAAACAGACAGAGGGAGAGGTAGTTTTCATGAGGACTCAGTATGTTTCACACAGGCAACACACAACAACTCCCAACACCACAATAGAGCACAGCTGTGTTTTATAAAGGGAGACCATAACATACAAAAAAAAAAAAGTTTTGTGTCTGTGTTTTAGCTTTTATTTTTAAAATATGCTGTCAGTGATATCATGAACAATATATAATTTGACTTCTTTAAAGTGTCGGATTTCAAAAACAAATGGCTGGTCAAAAATGTAAAGTTGGTAAAAAGGGCAGACATGTTCCAGTTCTGAGGGGACAGATTTATAGCTGGAAATCTGATCATCTAAGGTGACATAAATTAATTATGCAACACTCAGCAGATCTAACAATCCAAACTCTCTCCTCCTAAACTACAGTATAAATGTAAAATGTATATTCAAAGGTCCTCTAAGTTCAATTACTGACCAGACAAATTAAAGATGCAATTCTGTAAGGGCCTGAAATTATAAAAGGTTCATAAGCTTAACTATTTTGCGGAGACATTTAGACTCCTTTATTGTTACCATATCATCACCACCACATTAAAACAAACACATGTAAATAATGTAACTAATTTAGCCCAAACAAATTAAGCATGTAAATTAAATTAAAACAAAAGTTCATCTTTAATCTTTTAGCTGTTGAGAAGGAAGTGCTATTAAAACTGTGACCTACTACTCCCAGACACCAAGACTGTAGTCTGCCTTGTCTCAGTGTCTGTGTCATAAATCCCGATGTAGGTGGGGAACTGATTCCCCGCTTGGCCTGTTTCTTAGCCATGGAACTCAGCCGTCAATCAATGTAAAAAGCTTTACAATGGGGAATAAGGAGCATCCTCAGATTTAGAGCACTCTGCCGTAACTTTCTGCTCTCACAGCCACAAAGAGAGAGAGCGCGTGAGGGGAAAGTAGCAAGGTACATGTTATTTTAATTACTGTGGTGTTTACCACCTTATTTTGGTTCCCTAAGGGAAGCTCTATCCAGGCTTTGTGGTTCTTCGCTTTCGTTATTTTGATTGACATTACTTACCAGTGACATTGAATTTAGAAGGTTTAAGTTTTTTCTTTTTCTTTTACTACAAATCTGTAACAGCCAGAGTCAGTTGTTAACACACCTTCACACAGTAACCATCATCTATAAGTAAATGTTACCAAAATATTAATTTATTATATTCATAAACATTATTTATTAATAAAATATTTATTAGTACATATTTATTCATATCAAACATTTAATTGATTTTTTTTTTTTTTCAAAATTCAGTGGTAATTCATGCATTTGAAAAAGCATTTAAAAAATATTTTAATGTAAGTTGTTAATTAAATTAAACCTCCTCTTCCTTTACCCTCTCTCCATCTAATATTAAGGAAATCAGTTGCTTCAGAAAATCTGACTTCATCTGCCGCTGTTAAACCTTTGCTGTCACCATCTGTTGTGCACACCTTTGACAGAGAATCTCTGCATTTTTCATTATTATTATTATTATTATTTTAGGGCCCTCTCCTTGCTGAAGTAGGGAACAACATTGCCACCTAGAGGATGATCCAAGTCAGTATCCAGCATCTCAGGCCAGATTCACACAACCCCTGCTTACCCTCACAAACATTTTGCCTCAGTAACCTGAGGCACATTTAAAAAGTAATTTTATTGCAGCCCCTCCCCCAAATAAAACACATTCAAATGCGACTGTCACATCAGCAACACGGCTGCATCTCCGACCAAGCTATTCCATTGCCCCTACAGTTGGCTGAAGTGTACAGCATTTATAATGGTTCACTGGGCACTAACCATGAACATTCAGAACTATATCTCCCCATGCAAAATCCAGAGGATCAGAGACCGGAAGATAGCATGCATCCACAAGGGCATATAGAGGAAAAAGAGGGAGGAAAACAAGTAGGACATGGGAGAAAATACCATTCCCATTGGTTAAACTACACCAAATCTAAGTCTTTTTCCACATAGCAATAAAACCAACAGGTTTTATTTGATCCACTTGTTGTTAAAACAAATTAAGCGGATTAAAAAACCACATCCTACCTGAATAGATGGGAGCCAGTCGAAATATATCAGAAAGCCGGCTGTTCACAGGTTCATATGGAGAATCCTCAAGTAAATCATTCCCTGTAATATGAACAAATGACATGTGACTAAATAATCAAATGCTATATCAGTTATGAAATATTTTTCTTAAGTGCATCATTGATGTCATTATTTAATGTGTGCATTAAACTACAAAGCTGGAAACTGTCCTTTACGTTAGTCAGTATTTGGGTCATTGATTAATGGAACTGGTTTACATTTCCGGAGACAGTTTCTGGTTGATTAGCTGTACTGGTCAGTTGAGCTGAGAAAGTTGCTGCCCCCCTCCAGCACACACATATAGCCTACACTGACATAAAGCATCAGATGACCTCACACTCCATAAACTTTAATGGACACACTTCAGAGAGGCATTTGAAGACTTTACAGTGGCCCTATCTGATAACAGAACTCAGAAAAGCAACTTCCTTGGCGTAGTATTATTGGTTGCTAAGTATTAAAAATAAACAATGTCAGAAAAAAAAATTGTGTATGACTTTATACTGCATTTTGAAGCTAAATATTGTCACAGCTTCATATGTTTACAGT